GAAAACCTGCCCCGCTACCAGAGAGAATGACTATAAGGATCAGATGAAACTTGATTGATACAAGGTTCTGTTAAATCATTATGTCCTGGGGACCTCAGGAGAATGTTTCGCTTGGTGAGTGAGGAGAGAACATTCAGGAATCAGGTTGATAGAGTAACCACATGTAGGGAATTCCTACCATGTCTTGGAAACCTCATCCAGTGAACAAATGGCTCTCAAAAGGCAGGGCTGGGGAGGGTGAGACTTTCTGTGGAGATTCCACTGAGGCATGTCAACTGAGTTGCTGTTCTCCGTTTCAGTTTTGCACAGGCCAGTGCTTTTTCCTTTGGTTACATCATCAATCTGGCATGCAATCATAGTTGAGTTAGATGTATCTCTTGCTCACCAGATTCCTAAATTGTGAGAGAATACGGATACATTGACGGCTTTGTCTGCCTGCCTGACCTTTCAGTTTTCCCTGTGGCGACTTCAGCGCCAATCCCCTCATGCCATCCTGGCCCTATCCTCCTCCCTGGCCTCCTCCACCCCCTCAACATCATCTCATAGCAGATGCTTTCTCATTTTTCTGGCTGTCAGAAACTTGGTTTCCTTAGCAGTAGATTTTCCTGTCCTTCCCCTGTTAAAGTGTTCCCATCATGCTTGGATTGCTTACAACTCTGATACTTCTTGAACAAGTGGAGTGAAAGCTAAGGACACAACTTTCAGTTCTGCTTCTTTACCCTCCCAGGGAGAGGGCATCCGCTTCCTCTAAGTAGTTTGGGGGCAAGGCAGTGTGATTCTACAGATCTCCCAATCTTGACTCCTTCCCTCCCAGCTCCCAGGTTGTTACCAGAATGATCTTTCTAAATGGAAATGTTACTTGCTCAAAGCCTGATGACTCCCCTCTGCCCATCTAGGTTCCGCAGGCCACCCAGCACACAGATGGCTTTATTTTTGTCAGGTACCATGTTGACCTCCATAAGTTTTAAGACAATTTAAATTCGTTAAGAACATTAAAGATGGATTGGAAGATATCTTATAAAATCCATGATTTGAGTTTCACTCAGGAGAATGTTAGATGGCAACACTGGACACCAGGAACTGGGTAGGACTGCCCCTTAGCCACAGGCTAGCAGGGTTCTCCAGATGGCACAGCTACTACTATGGCCTCAATACTCCTTTATGTTACCTAGGGAAGCTCTTGTGTTTGCTTCCCCCACTACAGGATCAAGTTCAACTTGAGTTAAGATCAACTCTTTTTTTTTTTTTAAAGATTTTGTTTATTTATTCATGAGAGACACACACAGAGAGAGGCAGAGACACAGGCAGAGGGAGAAGCAGGCTCCATGCAGGGAGCCCGATGTGGGACTTGATCCCGGGTCTCCAGGATCATGCCCTGAGCCAAAGGCAGACGCTCAACCGCTGAGCCACCCAGACATCCCAAGATCAACTCTTTATCAGATATATAGGATTTATACCAATTAGGCCCCAACTACATCTGCCTCCAACTCCTGCCCCATCCCTATGGGCTTTTCCAGAATAGTAGTGCTATGAAATGATTAGTTGTTTGCCTGTTTGAGTTTGCTTACCTGTACATTTTATTTTGTTATTTTTTTAACCGAAGAGACCCATCTTGCAGATCCCTCTGGAGCATCCATTACAGGCATGGAGTGTGCCTAGCCTGGCCACACCACAATTGTGGAGTGGGAGTTAGTCACATTTCAGATTTTCATGTTGTATGGATCCAGAGCTTCTGAAAAGGGCAAGAAGCAGAGGAAGGAAAAGAACAGATAGGGCCCTTTCTGTGCTTTCGGTCATTTCCAAAACAAATTAGTTTCATGTGGTTACATGGTCATGTATTTACAGACATTCTGCTCTGTGATGCTGAGGCTGTAGCAGCAAAGTGGTTTACCTCAACTAGGATATCTGTTTTCTAATTTGCCTATTCTTTCCAGAATTACAGGAAAATTGATATATCCGCTTCATTACTTGAACTTCTAGACAATAAAATAAATTCAAGCTACTAAGTAATTACTTCCTTTATTGCTGTTCACATTAAATTCAGAAGCTTGCAGAGGAGCGATGTTCAGAAACCTGGGCATTTGCTTCTCTAGTTTCAAGAAATTGCTGTATACGTCAGGCTTTATCTTACTGGTGCTATTACTTACTCCACGTTCTACTCTGTGCTGGTTCCAAAACTTGATTTCCCCAGGAGGAGTTAGGCTTTCAGAACTTATGTCATCCTAGCCAAACTCATAAGGTCTATTACTAAACTAGAATATTCCTTTTCTGTTCATTTACTCAACACCTACTAAGTGTGTGGCCCTGTCCTAATGTCTGGTGAAACAAAGTAAATAAAAAATATGATGTGGTCCCTGCCATTTAGGAGCTTATGGTCTAGAAGTGGTACATATATATATATAAACAAACACATTATATATTGTGCGTTAAGTGTAGGGTGACCTGACATCCTGGGAACATCCTGGTTTATGCTTGCTGTCTGGTATAACTATTAATAGTGTCCCCTGTCAAAACCATCTAAGGGCCACAGTAAAGGTTTCTATGAAAGTCTGAGGTATAGAGATGGTAAAAGCAGGGAGAAATCAGCCTATTCTCCTAGAGTAGACACTCGACCTGGGTGATGAAAGCAGTTTGAGCAGTCCAGGTCTGGGAGCTCAAGGTAGAAGTAAGGGGGAGGGGAAAATGTGCAAAACTCTGCAGGCAAAAGGGGAAATTGTTCCTGAAGCAACAATTAGTCCAAGCTAGTCATTGTTTCCCAAATTTATCCTGTGAAAATAATTCCCCAAGATATTTGGTAAAAAACACAGATCTCCTGGTCCTGCTAGTAATCTGGATGAGTATTTTTAAAGAAGTGTTCCAGATGATTCTGGGACAAACTGGAAGTTCAGAACCAATTCTATACTGATTATGGCAAGGCATACAAAGGGCTGGGAGTAAAGAGGAACAGAAACAGCAAGACTAGAGCATAAGTCACCTATCAATCTGGTGGGTAACCTCGGGTGGGAAAGCCCTCAGAGACAGAACAACTTGGAAGACAAATACAGTAGACCTATGGAAAATGGACAGTGTGGGAACTATATGTCAGTCACAGTAGGGATGCAGAGGAATGAAAAGATGTAAGAACTACTCAGGAGGAAGAATGAACAGGACCTGGGTTATGCCAGTTACTGATTTACATGGGGTAATATGCAGTTCCAGGCCTCAGAACACTTGTGTCAAATCCAGGAACCTGGGGGACCTTACATTTTGAAGGTTTAAATAGTCAGCCATACACCTAAAAAAAAAAAAAAAAAAAAAAACTGGAGAATATTGTGACGTATTTCATGTGGACCTAAAAAAAAAAAAATCCTGCTTATTTCCCATTGTTGTAGTCTTCAGAACAGTCATGACAGTTGTGTTTATCTCTGGGAAGGGCATCCTGACACCCCAACGGTCAGGATCTAGACTGATCCTGACAGGCAAACCTCTGCCCTTCAGGCAAACCTCTGCCCTTCTCCTACGGAAAGACTAGTTGCCATGTCTTATCTTGCGTTATTTTTGCTTCTGTTTTTGTGATCGAATGTGTAAGACAGTCATGACTTCTTAGCAGGGCCAACCCCTTTCAGGGGAGATGGTCTCCTGCAGTTTCAGCATGACTTTGTTCCTAAATTCTGGAGCTGCTCTCTCTGCGAGAACCTGCAGCCACCTTACAGATTCACCGCAAACTCGGGAAATTACAATAGTAGAAGAAACGCCTTATCCAGGCTAGGAGATGGTGAAGCCTGGCGTTTGTAGTTTGTGGCAGCGGGCTTCCTTGGTGCATCGGAAACTCTGAGGGGAGTAATCCCTAGATGGAAAATGAAGGAAATCCAAGGAGAGCTTTGCTATTTTCCTCTGCCTTCCAGCATAAAGAGGGTTTTTATTTCGAAGGCTACCTTCATCAGGCCTGTTGGCATACTTCTGAACCAGCAAACCAAGTCAGAAATCAAAGACTTAGAAGTTATGAAGAGAAAGCCTCTAAAAAGGAGAATGGGAAACCGACCAGGCTGTAATCTCACAGGGTAATTTAGCACCCTTTACCCGAGACCTGGCCCCAGAGCGTCCACCAGCGCGGTCTGGGGAGGGACAAAGCATCTGCAATTCCCGTGCTTGGCTGCTTCTAGAGCGTTGCTGAGGAATTTCCAGATCCTGGGAGTGACAGGGCCGGAGGCGAACAGCTGAAATCTTCCACGCTGTCAAAGTCAGGGAGGGGGAGAAGCACCGGGCAACGGCGGCCTCGAAGTTTTTTGGTTTTGGTTTTTTATTTTTTATTTTTTTTGAATAAGGGGCTTCATTTCTGTGCGGTCCAATGTCACAACGCCATTAGGTCACAGCAGCAGGAAGAAAAATTAAGAAGGGAAGGAGGACGAGTCCAGTGCGCGCGGACCCAGAAAATGGATCTTCCCGGCTGCTGCAGCCGCCGCGGCCGGAGCAGTGGGGGCGCAGCGGCGCTCGGCGGCTGCGAGTCGCAGCGGGGCAGCCCCCTTCCCGCAGCCCGGGCGCGACCACGGCGGTGCCGCGGCGGGGGGATCGGGCGGGCGCGCCGGCGACTTCAAAGGCCCGCCGCCGCCGCCGCCCCCGCCCGCGCGCGCCGATAGTACGGTCCGAGGGGGCGGCTCCTGGGGCGCGGCGCCCGCCGCAGCTGATGCGCGCCCGCCGGCCGGGAGGCGGGAGCCCGAGACCCCGGAGCCCGAGACCCGGAGCCGCCCGGCGCCGCGGCCCGGGGACCTGAGGAGGCCCCACGAGAGGCATCGCCCCGGCGGGAGTGGCTGGCGCGGAGGTGGCCGCGGCCGCGCCGCTCGGGAAGGAGGACGAGGAGGAAGCGGCGCTGCCTGCGGCCGAGAGGAAGCGCTCCACCCGGGCCCCCGACGGCGCTCGTTGAACCACATCCGCGCCTCCGCTGGAAACGCTTACGGGCGCCTGTCACCCGTTCCCTCCATTTTGAAAGGGAAAAAAGGCTCTCCCCCTTCCCCTACTCTTAGGAGCTGGAGCCCGAGGAGCCGCGCTCATGGCGTTCAGCCCTTGGCAGATCCTGTCCCCAGTGCAGTGGGCGAAATGGACCTGGTCCGCGGTGCGCGGCGGGGGCGCCGGAGAGGAAGAGGCCGGAGGGCCGGAGGGCGACCCCGAGGACGAGGACTCGCAAGCCGAGACCAAATCCTTGAGTTTCAGGCAAGTACACGCATCCCCGCCGAGACGCAGGCGTGCTGCCTGCCATCCATCCATCTGCGGCTCATTCTGTGTGCGTGTGTGTGGTCGCTCGCCCGCGTAACCATTGCCATCGCAGTGCTGCGTCCCTACCCGTAACCGGTTCCCCGCCTGTGCATTCGGAAGTTCAGGGTGCTCGGTCCGGTGTCCCCTTTCCCCCAGTTCGGTGCCAGCTTTCGGAACCTAACCCAGACTCCGCAGTCTCTCCGTATCCCGGTCTGCTTGTCACTTTCTCTAAGCTTCGAGACCCCAGCCCCCGCCCCTACACACACCGAGCGTCAGGGATCCCATCTGCTACAAGTTGGGGCCTTCCCTGTGGGGAAGAAGTCGCGCCCAGGCCCTCCTGGTGTCCCCCTGTGCCCCGAAAATGCAGCCTTGGTGAAGAAGGTCGCGTGATGACAGGCCCCTAGCAGCTGGTGAGAAATGGTGGTCTTTGCTGAGCTGTCACCCAGTGATTGAGGAAGGCAGGTGACAGTATTCTCAGCTTCGGAACGAGTGAGTTCCAGACAGGTAGAGGCCTGCCCAAGAAAAAGGCATCATGGCGAGAGCTGACTTAATTTTAAGGGGGAGGAGGCAATCTTAATTTTTAAATCTATGAAGAAGGGTTCTGGTGAGAATAAGAGTCTGTTGAAAAGCGCTTTGGGAGGGATGTCGGAAGAAAGGATGACCTCAAAAATAAATGGTGATGGAGAAAAGCCCCGGAGAACTGAGGAATATCAGGGAGACAGGATGCCAGGCTGAAGGCGGGGAAGGGCCCTTGGAGAAAACCCCATGGTGAGCTCCCACAGGCCAGTCCCTGCCTCAGCAGGGACTAGCGGGTTGTAAAGTTAGGCAAAAATGCTGGATATTAGCCTTTGTCGATATGTAAACTGTAAAGGGTGTCGGAAATACCGTTGAAAGTGGTAATTCCTCATTTTTCCCCCTTGGCAGCTCGGATTCTGAAGGTAATTTTGAGACCCCTGAAGCCGAAACACCAATCAGATCGCCTCTCAAGGAATCCCGTGATTCATCACTAGGGTTGGCAGGACCAGAGGCCAAAACCCAAGGTAAAGAAAGGCTTTCATTTTCTGCCTCTCTTGTTTTAAAGTTTTGAAAATGTAAAGAGAGAAGGAAGAAGGTTAATTTAGGGCCACTTAAAAGCTTTGGGTTGAGTAATTACGAAGAAAGAGCTGTTTTAAAGTTCCTGGCTTATTTTGAAATGTTTTTGTTGGTTTGTTTTTTAGGAATGTGGTGGTCAGAGGCTTTCTTCCTAAGTAGTTTGTACAGTTGCAGGATGAGATTATCATTATTGAACATTTCTGCTGGGCCCTTCCCCTCAGCCCCTAAAAAACAAAAGTGTGTATAGTAATGCAGAGATGGAGGTATGTTTAGATTTGGCTTTAGATATTTCTCAGGTTCAGTCACTTTCTCCAGGGGTGTGTGTGTGGCTGGAGACAAAAATTCTAGTTAAGAGTTGATCTTTGTAGATAAGAAGGTATCTTAAGAAGTTGTTTTAAAATTGTTTACCTCTCCCCTAAGCTACATAGGAATGGTGGGGAACCTCTCTGTCTACCTAAGAAAACCTGGCACAGAGATTGTCTCCTAGCCCCCTCAGAGCTCAACCTTGAGCCTGTCCTTCATCTACAAAAGCTTCTGATGTTCCATTTAATTAGCAGAAACCTTTTTTGTCACACAGCCAATTTTGAGTAAAATTTCACCTGTCCTGATAGAATCTGTTTATCCACTCAGTAGAGTGTGCTGTGATTCAGCAGTGAAAAAGTGTTGCTCTCATTGAGCTAACATTATAGATAGAGGAAGATGGATCTTTTAAAGGTCAAACAAGATATATATGTCAGCTTGTCCTAAATACAGCAGTGGAGGAGGAATAGGGTGTATGGAGTAGGGATAAGAGATGCTGAAGAGTAATTAGGCGGAGCCTTGCCAATAAAGGAACTTGAGCAGAGCCCCGAGGGAAGATTGAGAGCACAGACTTGCAGATTCTTGGGGAGAGAACCCTTTCAGCAGAGGGAATGTTATCTGCAAAGGTCTGAAGCAGGACCAGCCTGGGGTGGAGTGAGGCCCATGGTGGGAGGGTTTTGAGGGCCAGTCTGAAGAGGCCAAGTGTGGCTAGAGTGGAGTGACTAGGGAGGGAACAGTAGCTGAAGGTAACCAGATAAAGGGAAGTCTGGAACATTTTGTAATGGCTTAAAATGACAGAAACGTATTCTCACAGATTTGGAGGCTAGAGGTCCAAAATGAAGGTGTCAGCAGAGCCATGTTCCCTCCACACATTCTAGGAAAGAATCCTTTCTTGTCTCCTGTAGCATCTGGTGGTTGCTAGTATAATTCTTGGTGTTCCTTGGCTTGTGGCAGTGTAACTTTAATCTGTCTCCTTCATTACATGGCAGGCTTCTCCCATGTGCCTCTGTGCCTTCACATGACATTCTTTTAAGGACACCAGTCAGTGAATACAGGGACCCTCTTAATTTGGTATGACCTCATCTTAATTTGATTACATCTGCAAAGGTACTATTTCCAAATAGGTCACACTCATAGGTATGGGGAGTTAGGAATTCAACTTTTTTTTTTTTTTTTTTTTTTTTTTAAGAGCTTTACAGCATGGAAGATGCACTTGTTATTTGTGGCTTTCTTTTTCCTCTCTTAAGACTGGCAGTTCAGAAAGGAGATTTGAAAGCTGGAAAGACCTATTTTGAAGCTTTCCCATCCCATTTAAATAATGCTCACCAGACATGTTAAGTAGTTATTTGAAAGTTACTTTGAATTGCTCTCAGCTTGGGAGGGCCCCTTCCTCGCCATTCTGTCAGCTGGTAGTCTGATTCATCTTGTCAGATTCTTTGCTAATTGCATAGAGACAGTCCCCCAGAACCATAGAGACCCAAATGTTTGTTCCTTCCTGTGCCACCGATTCTTTTTTAAATGTTTTGGTAACTTCTAGTTGACACTCTTTTTTTTATTCTTTCTGAAAGTTTTTTGTCTTTAGAGTCATGGACCAGGGAAGCTCTGCGAAGTAGATCATGATTGAAGGCCATGTATTTGGTAGGGGTTGAGGGAGAGTGTACAATCTGGAAAATTACTACTCCATATTAAGAAATCTTTCCGTTTACGGTGTTTAAATAATAGGATGATTGCATATCAACCTGGTAGTATTCTGCCTTTGAGAACTCTTTCTGCCTAACATGTAAAGTTAGTTCAGAGTCTTGTTGATGACCTTATTATACATATACAAGGAAATACAAAAATACTCCCAAAGCCCAGGTCTGACCAAGAATGATATCAGTGAACAGAAATTCCTAGAGACTCATTTCATGTTAAAGTCTTAATTTCTGGCCTTGAATCGACCTCTTTCTCCTGAAATTGTTGATGATTTAACTCCTGATACAGTTAGTCTTTCATGTTTCTGTGGTTTCAGGACGTGATGGAGCAGCAGGTAGAGATTATATAAGACTATATTTTCCGGAGGAATGATATTTGAGTTGTTAGTCAGGGGTTGGAGTTAACGTATGTAAAAGATCCTGGCTTCCTGGTATATGATGGCCCTCCAATGTTTGGGCTGTATACCACATACCATAGCCACGGCCCCCACCCCAACCTCCATCTAATTCTTTGAATGCAGGGAAACATCTACGTCTATACAAAGTTAATTTTCTTTTTATTGGGAGTTTTTTGAGGGGACTTACAGTATCTGAACTCTAATAATGCTTTTTGAGATAGGGTTATATGCTGTCCCAGGAATTAAATGGTAGATGAGGTTGTGGGGATTTTTTAAAGACATGGATGGGAGCTGGTTTCAGACTAACTGCTAAAATAAAACTTGAACCAAAGAGGTTCATTGAAAAGACCACAGTAGTGGATGTAATATTTGGGCTGGCAATTCTGTGTTTGCTATCTGTCTGCCTAACCCAACAAAGAATGTCTAAGCTGCTGGTGTTACTGTTGTTTTTCTTTGCTGAAGGATATATCAGTGAGGAGACTTCTTCACCTATGAGAGGACTTTTAAAAAGGGTTCAATCTCAAGTGCATCCCCTTTTTTGTGGTGGACTGTGGTTTTTGTCCATTGTTTTGGACTATAAAAACTGCAGTCCTCTGCTACTAGAAGCCTCCCCACCACACCCACCCACACACAGCTTCATTTATAGTTTGTTACCTTTCTTTGAGAAAGAAAATATCAATTCTTGCTGAAACTATCAAATGCCCTTGGAATGACTAGTTAAATCTACCCTGTTTGATGTGTTAATTAGATGCCTCAGCATTTCAAAGACAAACTATAGACCTCCAGAATAGAAGGAAAGATAAATAAAATCAATCCATAGATATTTACTGCTGAAGGCCTAGGGGGAATGCAGAGTTGTTTGTTGACACAGTTTTGGTAGTCTAGCTCTGGAATCAGCAGACTGGCTCATAGACCCAAATATGGCCTGCTGCCTGCTGTGGCCAATTATTAATCAGCCTGGGAGCTAAGAATTAGTTTTACATTTTTAGATGGTTGAAAAAAAATGTGCAGTGTGAAAATTATAGGAGATTCAAACTTTAGGGCCCAGAAATAAAGTTTTGTGGGAATGCAGCCACAGGTTCACTCAGGTGTTGTTCTAATATGGCTGCTTTCACACTAAAGTAGCAAGGTTTTTTGTTTGTTTTTAAATAGGCTCCATACCCACTGTGGGGCTTGAACTCACGATCCTAAGATTCAGAGTCATATATGCTTTACAAAGCCAGCCAGGCGCCCCTCAAGGTTGAGTACTTGGAACAGAGACTAAATGGACAGCAAAAGCCTAAACTATTTACTGCTTGGCTCTTCACAGAAAAGTTTGCTGACCTAGATCCACACTTACGACAATTGTGATAAAAATATAAAACTTAAGTAGTTTGGGATAACTTTAAAGAAGGTGGCAAGGCTATCCATGATTAATTCACAATGAAGCATGGGGCCAGGTGCCTTAGTACAGGCCTGTGTGGTTAGGTAAGGCTTTGGGGAAAGAATTGTTTGGGCTGGCTATTTGTCTCCCATGTAAAACACAAATGTCATTGATCTGTCAGTATACCTGATTTTCAGTTGACTAAAAGGTTCAAGGAGTTATGAGAAAAGGAAATTAGGGAAGAATGAAGAGAGTTTGGGAATCATTTAATATAAGTACAAGTATATATAGACACTAAACTTTTGCCCATTAAGTGTTTAGTGTATTTAATTATTTTAATTTAATGGTTTTAATTTAATTTAATGGTTTTAATTGGGTGTTTCCAATTTAATTTGAGTATTGATGTGCTATATTGTTGGTATATGTTGTGTGGTTGAAATAGTTTATTTATTGGGTGTTTCAGACTACATATATGAGACATGGAATATAAGTCTTGTTAAAATGTAAGCCTTAGGTTTTTGGTTCTAAGGCTTTGAGTTATATGTATAAGAAAATAATATGTAGACATTTTTCATTACGTGTTTATTGAAGTGTTCCAGTTGAATCCGTGAATATGGTTCTCCTAAGGATTTAGTTTAATATTCTCTTCCTGCCCCTACCATAGGGATTGCTTTATTAGAATTTCCTAGAAATAATGGTACTAATAAGGACTCTTAATGTTAGTCCAATAGTTTAACTCCCATGGCTCCTTCAATAACATCCTAAGCCATCCCCAATCTCTTTTATTTTAATTTGATTTTTTAAAATGTAATTGGCTCCTTCATAGTTCAATTTAAAATTTTATATTATTTTATATTATTGTAAGATGTTTAAGGTTTGAAAACCTCAGCAGCATGGTACATTTTTCTTTTTCCATGTAATGTTTTTAGCTCTCAACTTGGGAGATTCCTACTAGTTAGTAAATGGGATCAGAGCCATGTTTTTTTGTTGCTGTATTTATACAAGTGTAAATGAGCCATGTAGAGAGTTTCTGTATGGTGTTCCACCCAAAGAAAATGTCTTGGGAGAAAGTATAGTTTTTCCAGCAGACACCTCAGAAAGTGCAGAACTGTCATATTTGAATAAAAAACTTAGGGGCAGGGGAAAAGTCTGCCTGTTGAGTATACATTTTACTAGATTTATTTATAACTATA